TCCAGATAGTAATTACACTGTTTGTACATTATCAAAGTGAGGCGTAACTCAAAACACAGTACAGCAAATCTCATCCATTCTCTGTTTTACACATGTGGATTTGTACTCTATGAAGCAAAGCCGAGTCCTGAGCCATGAATAGAGCTCCCTGGCACTACAAGGCTTGAGGCAGAAAGCAGCCTCTCTCCCCACCATATTACACAAGGGCCAGATTCTAACCCACCTACACACAGCCAGTCAAACTTAGCTCCCACTAGCTGTGGAGTAAGGTGTGATCCAGCGTGAGATGATGAAAAAAAAATCCCCAAAACCAAACAACTCACAAGCAAATAAACAAAGTATCATCCAGAAACAAGTAACAACTGATAGAGCCTAGGAAGCAGGACAGCTGTCAACAAAAAGTCTCAGAGACCAATTCTCTGGGACGTGAAGAAAGGGGTAGAGGCTTTGTGCAGGAAAGTAGACCAAGACAAGCTGACACTGCATTTTGCTCTTTCTGGAATTTCTTACACAAGACAGGCAAACCACTCAGCCACCTGCACACCCTCTCCCCCAATAAAATCATAATTACAGCACTGTCCTAACTCCAGAGGCTGTAGGAAGGACTGAAAATTGCCAGGTACCCAGTCAGCAGCACAATGAGGGGGCGGGGGGAGGAGGGAGGGAACCTCCTTTGACAGAAGAAATACAATATATTAAAACTGTGCAGTGTTCACCAACCCCCCTACTCCTCCCCTGCACAGTGAGGTACAGCTGCACAGCACTGCTGTTGTGGTAAATCAGGCTTTCTAGTGCACCAGACAGCCAAGGTTGACTTGCAGCTACACATGCCACATCCTTTCAGCTTCTGTGAACCTGTGCTTCAGTTTGTGAACCTGTGCTGCATGAAGCCAATGCCTAAGGCACACGAGGTACCTAATGCACACCCACCCACCTGCCCCCCACTCCTTGCTCAGGGACACTCCGAGCAAATTAAGGTTAAAGACAAGAAGACCTGAGGGTTTCAATGGTGCAGCCCCCATATATGCCCTCAAAAGACAGTTTCAAAGGATGTGAGAGTGGAGGGCAACACAGAAGGTTCAGCACAAAAGCAAGTGATGAGATTTAGAAGCATGCAGAAGAAGTTTCAAAGGGGGCAGAGGAGAGTGCAAGGACAGAGAACATGAGGAGCTGCATCAGCAGAATACTCAGAAGGGCAAAGCAACCCAGGCACCCAGATTTTCAAGACACCATGTCCAAAATGCCTCACCATACTCATTACAGCTGCTGACTCCAAGCTCTGCAGGCAACCTGCTACCAGACTGTAGATGTCTGAAAGGCCCTTGGGAAGTGGCCTCAGACACAAGGGAGGATAATGGGAAGAGAGGAAAATGAAAGGAAAAAGAAACTGGACAGAGATCAAACCCTCCTCCATGGAACTGAGCAATAGATTCTTTGAGTGCTCTTAACAACATGGGCCTCCTGGGAGAGCTGAGGGCTCCTAGTGCTGCTGGGAGGGTGCTTGGCATTTCCCCAGGATCAGACCAAAAAATAACAGGCTGTTCTACATGCCTGAGAGCCTAAATAAAAACAAAACACAAATGACGACTTAATATTGTAACGTAATTTCAGATTTCATTATAAATCTTAACTTCATTAAACTGATGGTATTTTTGGGGAAAAAAAATCATTTAGCATCCCTGCTGTTTATTTTATATCCTGCTGATACAATGATTTAAACTGATTAAAAAGTCCTTTCAATTATTTTCCAAAATGTATAAATATCAAACCAGGCTAATCCTAACTAACTATAATGACCTTTTCGAATAATTGGGTCTATTAGAGCAGTTTCCAGTGACATTGAATTCAAGTTAATGTACCCACAGAACGGTACTCCCAGCATACATAACTTCTCTAGCAAGTGTTAAGAATTCAGCTTCAGTCTCAGAAACATCTTCAGAAGAAACTGACATTAAATAAGTGATACTACATGCTGTAACAAATCTCGGCTTATTTTTCATCCCATTCCAAAAACCAGAAGATACTTTTGTCAAGAGCAAATTAAAATAGAGGCAAAATTAAATTCTAATTTAATACGGGTTGTCTAATTGATTTGCTTGGTTTTTTGCTTTTAGCTATGTGTTAAGCAGGGTTTTTTTTAAAGAAAACTTTCCCTTGTTATTATGAATGCCAAGTCACAATGACTCTGATTCTCCACATATTTTCCAAAGGTGTGTAATTTTCCATACCTAAATTTCTCTGACCAAAGCAAAACTGTAATTTTAAATATATTCAGGTTTTAAGTCACAGTATGCAACACTAGGGCTTTCAAATGCCCATGCAAAACACTGCACACACATGCAGGTAACAAGGATTGCAGAGGGGAACTCCTTTGCAGCAATCTCCATGCAGTTGGTTGTACAACTGAGAAAAGCAAAGGAAAAGAGAACCTGAGCCACAACATCCTTTTTTAAAAATGCAGCATGTGAATTAGAAATCATGAAGCAATGTTTTCCCTCTTATTTGCACACCCCTGTTTGGGGTAGAAAAGAACTATTTTGCTGGGACTGGGAGACCACCACAGTTCTGTAAGAATAAGATTTGCTCCACCACTGCTATCCAGAGCTGGGCTGTCCCTTCCTCAGAACTTTCTGGGTGTCTGTGCCATGACAGCACAGAGCCTGTTGGGAGGAAATGGCTGTCATGTCTGGGCTGCAAATGATGAAGGGACATACCTGGATTTAAACTATGAATCAAAAGAGCATCTAGGCTCTGTAAATACCCTGCATCACAAAATCATGGATTATTCGGTTCAATAAAGACCAGTAACAATGTACACATGTCAATTTGCAAAATGTATAAATAAAGAAAAAAAAAGATACCAACAGTGTTTTGCCAAGCTTGCTTGAGAAACATTTTTACAGGAGGCTGTTAAATGACAAGATCTGCATGAGATCTAAATGCATAATTTCTCTACACTAATTAAACATTTTGAGACAACAGCAATCCAAGAAAATCTCTTGTCCACGCATGAAATGTAAGTTTTGTTCCTCATCACGGACTTGATATTTAATTCAAAGTCCATTTCAACTCAACCAGGCAGAACTTACTGAATTGCTCCTTTGATTTTAACAGGAAGGGATGATACAGAGCCTTCCTTAAACAAGGCTGATGCTATACTCAGCATCATACAAAAGACACTGCAGTGAATTTGGAGGCACCCTAAACTTCACAGTTGTCACTTTCCAGCACTTCAGCCATCTGGAAGGCCTGCCATCTCCTACAGCACATGGAAGCTGCTACGACTTGTGCTATAAGAAACTTCTATTTCCAACTGTGCATGTAAGGTCTGAGCTCCCCAAAAGACCCATTCTGGTCTCTGCCTCGAGCAGACCTGATGCTGGTCACTCCCTGAGGCTTAAACCAGCACAGGAGGCAACACTCTGGATAACACACTCACTCCAAAGATTCAATTTGGTCTCAGTATTGCTTGTATAAAGAAGGTGTGAAATAAGACTAGAAAGTGTCTTTTCTGCTTCTCTGTTGCCTTTCCCCCCTCATCAACACATTCAGCCTGTCAGGCTCGAGGGCCCCATGGGCTGGTGTCAGCACAGAGCTGCCCCGGGAGAGCTGTGCCTGGGGCTCTGTGCTGGCAGGGCCCGCTGAGCACCCCAGCCCCAGGGACAGGGAGTACTCTGCATCCCTCTCCAGCCTACAGGCTGCTGGATTCAGTGCTAAGGAGTTCCTGAGGGGGATGTGCTTCCAGTCCTCCTCTGGAGAAGGGCAGGTTGCCATGACAAAGGCCTTTGAGACAAAGAGGTGTGGGATGGAAAAATAGTATGTGGGAAACCTAGAGGGGAAAAATACAGACCTCAATTCAGCATTTGCCATAATTTTCCAACACAAAGTCACAGGATTGGGGACTTTGGTTCATGATAAACAGTAAAGGGCTACAACTACCTTGAAACCAGGAGAGGCTGGATGAAGTAGGGAAGCAAATACAAACGTTCAGCTCAAGATATGCTGATCCTGATGAAGAAAACTTCCCCACAGCAAGGTGTCCTAACATCACTTCAAACAACCTTTATTATCAAATGCTGTCGAAGCAGAATCTCTGCAAGCAAAGGCACCTTTCCCTTAGGCCTTTACGGGTCCTTCCCAATGGCCTTAAGAAAGCTTTAATCACCTGAGCCACCTGCCACCATTTTATGGATTGCACGGGCCTTGCTGCAGTAAAAGCAAGCTTGCAAATGCCTTTTCAAAAGCATACTTTATGTTTCTAAAGTTTCTCTATCCCAGACGGTCTCAGCAAGGTCTAAACAACTCTAGAGAAGGGAGCAAACAAAAATAAAAAGAACAAGAATGAGAGGGAAGAGGCAGTTCCAACCAAAGCACCAAGTGGTCATCTTAATCCTGTTGTCTCTTCTAGATTAAAAGAACAGAATTCTACAATTACCAAGCTATCAAAAACTGGGAAATCCCACTGCCCTGTAAGGCAGAGTGAAAGACAGCTTCATTTTCCTGAACCGAATTTTTAACATGTTGTACATAGCATCCAGTCATCTCCCTCTCTCCCATTTGTTGTAGTGGATCCATTTCAAAACATTTCCTAGCTTCGAATCATGCCTGTCATTACAATCCCAAAGCACCCAGGCTGCACACACACTATCCCTTAGAAGCAGTGAGTTTGTTGGAAAGATACCAGCTGTATATAATAGGAATAGCTATTGCCTTCCTCCTCCCAAAACCCTATGGACAGACCTCCTTATCCCCCCTTCCCTCTGCAGCACCTGAGCCTTGGCACAGAGTCAGCTGGCTGTGTCACTTCAGACACAGCTCCCCTGTGTCCCCTCTGCTCTCAGCACTGTGGATCCAGAACGGATGCTGTACTTGTGTGTCCCAGCTCTGAATTCCCCTGTGTTCAGATTCTTCTCATTTTCCCCAGAGAGTAAGTTTCTCTCCACTGCCTTCAGCTTTCTTCTCCAGCTTCCCCCTCCCCGCCAGCCCTGCCCACCTCATACCTGTTGGCAAGACTTGCAATGCCGCCACTGCCGCTGTGTTTCCTTGCCCGGCTCAGCCTCCGTGTGGGCTTTGGGTCTTGCAGTCCAGGGCTTGGAACTGAGGGGAAGGTCGAGGCATAGCCATGTTCGCACTCTGTAAGAGAAACAACAGGTAGGGTATTTAAAAAAAAAAAGAAAAAGAAAAAAAGGAAAAAAAAAAAAGAAGTCAGCAGGCAGGACTCAGCACGAACCCGTTGGCCTAGCTGGGGAGGACCTTAACCACAACAGCTCAGGGAAATGACTGAAATCACAGGGAAGTGGACTGGGAGGTGGAGAAAAGGGGGAAGGGGAATATAAAGTCTCTGCCAAACCTGGAGAAAAGACACCACCACTCAAGCACTGAAAACATCAAAAAAACCCCCATGACAGTCCAGAGAGCGCCTTATCTCCCTCCTCCTGCCCAAGCTATCTGAACCGAGCAAACCAGGTATATTTCACTGTGCCATCCACGTCTCTGCTGAGCCAGAGCCACCCACCACCATTCTTCCTGCCCAGTGGAAAACTTTCACACCAATCTCCCCTTTTCTTTCCAGAAATCGCATCCACCTCAATCTCCCCCACTCTGCAAAAACATTCCACCTCATCCACCACCTCCAAGAGGACCCGTCAGTCTTATCCCTCATCCAGCCCTTCCCTGTCGGGGATTTAGCACCATTCCGCCAGCAAAACACTCGCTCCGATCCCTATTCCGGGGTCACTCTCCCCCCTCCGTGGGGATCCGACCCCAACCCTATTCCCCTCACGGAGCGCTGTCACCCAGCACCCATCCTCTCCCCATTACCTCTCTCCCTTCGCTCCAGATACTCGGCCGCCTCCAGCAGCCGCTGGATGTTGATCATCTGGACTTGCTCCATGGCCGGGGGGCTCCGCTGCCCCGGGCCGCCCTCCGCCCCCACGCTCCCGGCTCCCCCGATGGAGACGGGGGCGGCTGCGGCGGGGAGGCGCCGGGGATCGCCGTCTCTGCCCAGTGCCCGGGCCTCGTCACACCGTCCCGGGGGGGCGGCTCTCCTGGGAGGGCGAGGGGTGGCAAGGGGAACACGCGAGGAAATGCCGGAGGAAGGACCCGCTCCGGGATGCTCCCGCCGGGGGCGGCAGCGCGGCGAACGCTATCCCTGACCCTGCCCCGTGCCCACCGCCCGCCCCGGGCTCTGCCCCCGCCGCCAGCCCGGATTCACCCCCAGCCCGGGCCCCGCCGGGATCCCACCCCCCGGGCCGCTCCGGCCAGGCAGCCCCGCGGCGGGACCGGCCCCTCCGGCCGCCGCCCCGCCCGCCGCCGCGCAGCACTTTGTTTACCTCTGCCCGGCGCTCACGGCGGGCGGGGCGGAGCGGGGCGGGCTGGGAAATGCAGTTCCCGGGAGCACCCAGGGACCGGCGGAGCGTGTGGGGGCATCGACTCGCACGTGAACCTCCCGGGGTGATGGCTGTGTGCCCTCACGCCTCAGGTGAGGGCTCCGCGCCCACCCAGACCCCGAGGTAGTGGTGGTGGTGGTGGTGGTCTGAGGTCAGAGAGTCACAGAATGGGTCAGGTTGGAAGAGGCCAACCTGGTAGGGCATCTGGTCCAACCTCCCTGCTCAAGCAGGGTTATCCTACAGCACGTGGCACAGGATTGTGTCCAGATGGTTCTGAAATATCTCCAGTGTGGGAGACTCCACCACCTCTCTGAGCAACCTGTTCTGGTGCACAGTCACCCGCACAGTAAAGAAGTTCTTCCTCATATTCAGATGGAACTTCCTGTGCGTCAGTTTCTGCCCATTGCCTCTCGTCCTATTGCTCAGCACCACTGAGCAGAGTTCAGCTCCATTCTCTTCACATTCTCCCTTATATACCTGGATGAGGTTCCATTTCAACCATCTCTTCTCAAGGCTGAACAGGCCCAGCTCCCTTAGCCTTGCCTCATAAGAGAGATGCTCCAGGCCCTTGATCAACTTTGTAGCCCTTTGCTGAAGCTGCTCCAGGAGCTCCACGTCTCTTGTACTAAAGAGCCCAGAACTGGACACAGCACTCCAGGTGATGTCTCCATGCCCACCCAGGCGCTGAGGAGGTGGTGGTTTGCCCTGTCTTCCCTCCCCTCCTCACGGCCAACTTGCAGTTCCCAGTGTACCAGAGCCACACATGGCTCATAGTCTGTATGCCCAGCTGAAAATGGTGGCTTCCTCCTGGGCCACCACCAGCTGCAGAAGCCATCAGTGGGCAGCAGCCGCTGGCAAACCACAGCAGCCTGCAGGCCAGAGCTTCACACTCCACCAACACACTGGGGGCAAGGCAGCAGTTGCCTAGAGTGCACGACTTCAGCAGCCACTTCATCCCTCTCCGTACAAACACCCAGGCTTTCCACACGTGGAACTGCCTATGGCAAGGATGAAGCAGAGAGGCTACAAAAGATAAAACTGCATGTTCCACAGGGTGGGAGCTTTCCACATCTTACCTGTGGAGATGTAACTAAAGACAAGGTGCTAGGCTCAGGGAATTCCCACCTGGAGTGGCTGAAACAGTGTTTCTGATGGGAGGCTGAGGAACAAGACCCATTTTTAAGTGTGAACACAGCCCTTTGAGAGCACAGACAAGCGATACCACAGGCAGCAATCTCACTCTACTTGAAGCAGCCCATTAACAAGAAACAACTGTGACCATCTCAACATTTTAATGAATTCTGTCACACTTACACCTGCCAATATGATCACTCTTTTCAGCATATTAATAATGTATTTACATCCCGATTTTCATACAGGTACAAATCCTCAGATCAATTCTGGGACTAAATTTTACCAACTTCAACATTAGCTGTAATGCAGCTTAAAAAGCTGTTAACATTTAATTGTATGATACCAGTCTCTAAAAGGTATCTCAAAAAGGACATGATCTGAGAACATTCAAAATTAGAATCAGAACATTCATAGTAAAAATCCGAGTCTCAAACTGATCCCGACTTAGAAACCCTCCAAAGACTGTTTTGTAGTTTTAACTGGGATCATTTTCATGGGCCTGAACCTTTAGGCCACGACTGATTACATTTGCAAGCATTCCTCATCAGAATGGGAGATGGAGAAGTACCTTGAAAAAAAACTCAGAAAAGCAGAGATTGTCAATTAATGATGTGTGCAAGGGCTTTAGGCAGAGCACAAACTATCAGGAGACTCATGATGAAGTTGCAAGAGTTGGCAGCATTCAACTTGAGAAGGCCTGAAAAAAAGTGGATTCAGGGTAGCTAACTTTTCTTTAAACACATTTCGCTGATTCACCATTTCTGAGGTTTCCTCAGAAAACTGCAGGCTTGCAGCTGATGGAGGTAAAAATAATACCACTATTCAGTTCTTACACAGACCTTTTCATCTCTGAATCTCTAGGGGTTGGTTTGTTTTGTTTCTCTTAAGATGGGATAGTTGAGGAATAAAGGAAGCTGGGACACCTCCAGGGACATACCTCTGTCTTCTGCTCTGTGGGAAAGCCAGCCCCAACCCTCACTCGGACTCCCAGCCCCAGCCTCCACTCATGTACCTACACCCAGCCAGACCACAGCACGTGTAAAGACTGGCTTTTGTCTGGGGAAGAACTCAAGGAAGGAAGTACTCTCTCTCCCCATCTCTTGTTTCTACACTGGAAACTGCCCATAAAGCAGATTGTTAAAAGCACATGGAAAATTCCAAATTTAAGCAGTCTTTGGGACTACTTATATGATCTTGGATTAGTGAAAAGGACACAGGTGCACAGACCTCTCTGCAACAGTGAAGTTAACACAAGAGCATTTCTGGGCTCTAGATGTGCTGCCTCTAACCTGCTTTCAAAACTACAGAGCCATTTGCCTCTCAGGATTAGCAATGCTAAACATTTAAAAAAACCAAACCCCACAACTCCAACCCCCAAACTCATGATGAAGCCCCACAATCACTGCAAAACAGGCTGTTGTCAGCATCCACTGCCACTAGCTTTTCTGATGGCACATTTGGAGATATGTAGTGCCGCTCCAGGGATTACGTAGAGAAAGCCATGGGTGGAAAACGTAGGGGTAGGTTAGAAGCATATCCAAGTGTCAGCCTCATGAAGTTCTATAAACAAAATAACAGTGTGAAGGAGAGGGACCCTGATACACACGGTGAATTAAAACAGCTCTGCAATGAAGCAACGGTAGGATCAGTTCTGCGTGAAATGATGTAGGATCAGCTCTTGCATTTACACTTCAGCTCAGCTTCCAAGTCTTTGTTTCTGAAGTAAACAATGTCCAATTAGAAAAAAAAAATGTATGAAACAAAGACAAATTTGAGAATAAACTGTGAGATGTCTTCCCAAAGAAAGAGCCCCAAAGAGGAGGCAAGCTAGCCATGCAGCCACAGCAGATCTGCAAAATCTTTCAGTTGCCATCCCAAGTGCTCGTGTGGGCAGGTCAGCCTGCAAAATGCCAGAGCTGTATGTGACAGAAACAAAAGTGGGTGGAAAGTGAATAGCATGAAGAGGCCCAGTGCTATTCAACTGCTGACCAAAAAGCCCCCAAAGTCAGATTTTAAATGTGGTGGAGCAATCCACAGGCAACAAGGGGGAGGAGCTAAGGGAAGAGTATTTTAGGGGAGAATGAGATCATTTAATTTAGTGGCTCCGAATGATCTGTAAGTACAGTTTTCTGATTATAAGTGCTTGCTGCTTGGCATCCCTTCTGGCAGCTGTGATTCACTTTCATTGTGTGTTCTGCTGCTTCGCCCTTTAGAAAGGGGCTTTTTACATTTTATTAAATGGCACTTCGGCAACCCTCCATTTCCAGCCTTAATAATGGATTTGTTAATCTCCCTGATAGCCTTTCCCTCCTCCTTAGCAATAATTTAAATATCCAAGAAGAAATCTGCAGTGCAGAAATCAATTAATATTTACATCTGAAATGCTGCTGTACTATTTTCATCAAGTACAACAGATGTGATCTGTTTTTTACCAACATTATCATCACTTGCATTAAACTAACATCTTCCATCAGGGAAATTTTCTAAGAGCTTTTCAGAAAGTAATGTTTTAGGCTTCTCAAAACTGAAATGATTTTAGCTATTTTCTTTCCACTCTGCAGGAAGGGAAACTGAGGTATAAGCAGCATAATTGCTCATATGAAGACACACCCTAAGCCAGAGGTAGAACAGGAACACGTCTCATGAATCAAGATGCCCAACCCTCTGCTTTGAACACAAAGCTTAGAAATAACACAATGCTTTGCTTTGGAAGTTATTTTCAATAAGGGCAATCCCTTTGGCTGAACTGCCTTGTTTTCCATCCCTCCGTTGGCTTTTCCTAAAACCCTCCTATCCCCACCTCTTTGCACCCTCTGAGAAGAACATAAAGATGGCAACGGTCACAAGAGCTTCCTTTACCCACCTTCACAAAAACCCTGTAAGCCCTTAATATTGTTTTCAAAGCCTTGAAACCTAACAATCCTGCAATCAAGGCATGAACAGAAATCACCAATAGAATCCATTTTCTGGTGCTCTCAAAGCAGTGCAAAGATTCACTGATTCCCCAAATTTCTGGGGACAGTAGATCCATAAAACTCCTGCTTCTCAAGTGAGCGGAACAACATCTGAATATCCCACCTATCAGCACATAGTGTTAACAACCAGTCTCTATTCTTATACTCATGACTATAATGGCTCAGCATCAGAGGACTTGCAGCAGTGGACTGGAGACATCCCAAGTCCCACCTACTCAACACCCTTCCAAGGCTTGCAATACCTTCACTAATGGCCCCATACTGCCTATAGGATGTGGCCTCATTTCTCATCTGGGAGCTTCCTTCTTTCACAAGGCATCAGATAATCCCTTTTAGCACTCCCACTGGTATCTGGAACCCATCCACCAGTGAGGATAGACATTGCTCAGAACCAAACCACCTGGATATCCAAGAGTTTGGACAGGAATAAAGCGCACGCTGTATTTCTCACTCAGATTCAAAGATTAAGCTCTGCCAATCAATAAAGTAAAAGCCACAGGTCTACTGGTTCTTGGGCTACTTGCTCCTTCTCTCCAGGAGACGTGTGGCTGTTTTCAGACCTGTGCTGTGCCGCAATTTATACTGAGTCAGTGACTCACTCTGTGACTTGATTCAGTCATTAACTGATCCAGCTGCAAAATTAAGGGGACTTCCCATAAGAAAAAAAATATATCATACACAGGATGGGG